TTTTGTAATTCTCATTTTTAATACATGGCATTTTTCATTTTCCCATGTTCTCTGTCAGGAAAATATTGAACTTTTTAAATAATCAAGTTTCTATGTTTAATAGAAAGACCATCCTGTTTCTCAATCTTTAAAAATCATATTACTTTTTAATATGCAGGAAAGAAAAGTTCACCGTTTATTCTGCAGGGCTACATATTAATTTCTGAAAACAAGTCTCAGCAGTTTCATTACAGTCTACTTCACATTATGCAGTGTACACTATGTCAATTTTGTCAATTTAATTAAAGACATTAATGAGATTCTAATGCCCACTTAATTATTTGATTCCCGTTACCAATATTATTAATCAACCGCTTGTAATGCTGCTCTTCCCACACACATACAGCCCCTTATAAAAGTCTTACTCAGCAAAGCAACTTACAAAAGGAACATAACCTCAAAATCAGTTCTGTGTGGGAAAAGTAAAGCATCTCCCTTGGTGATTTCCTTGAACAAGTAGAGCCATGGAAAAGAAATATTTGTACTGATACATAAGTAGTGGACACTACTAGAATATATGTAGCTGACTGCACTTAGTACTTTTTAAGAAATCCTATAGTTATGCACAACTGTGCTATTATGATGTGTGATCTGTAGAGTTCATAACTGTTTTAAAATTTTATAGGGCTGAAATAGCTACTGAAGATGTCAGCTTGGGTCCATTTGAAACAGAAAACAAAAATGGCTATTTTTCATTCATTCAGATATAGTGCCAGAGCAATAAAATTAAAATCTTGCTATACATGTTAAAGGAAGGCCACAGTCATTATTTGCGATGTTGAGGGCTTCAATATCGTGCACTTAAATTTCTGTTCAATGCACCCTTTGTCTTAGAGCTGAATTCTGCCTTCAGATTTGCACCTTGTATCTCAGATATGTGGAGTAATTTCCAACAAAAACTTTCACATGCCCATGAACTTCGGATACCTTACTTTTTGGGTGTCCAGCTTTGAGATCCTTGGGGATTGATTTGAACCTGAGGTGAATGCCTGCTGCAATGGGAGCTGTTTTAATTTCTTGAGTTAGAGAAAATGGTGCTCTTTAAATCTGTATGTATTCCAAATTTGTAATGCTGGCTCTCAACATGCATCAGAATTCTACCAAAAATACTTAAATCATTCCTATGCCACTATTTAAAGCAAGTGGCTCTTAAGTAGAAATAGATGAACCAGTTCCCACAAGATAAAAATCAGCCTGTTGGGGACACTGGGGCATGGCCACTAGGTAACTCGAGGGGATGGAAGACCACGAGTGTCGATGAAGCCCCCTTGCACTAGGCCCCGGTGTCCTTGGCCCCCCCTCCTGCCTGGAGGCACTCGCAGCAGCTCTGCGTACTAGGCCCAAGTGTCCTTGGCCCCCCCGCCTGGAGGCACACACAGCAGTTATGCTGAGAATCTGCAACAGTATGTTGCAGAGTCAGACTGCCTGAAACTAAGCAAGGCCAAACAGGGGAGATATGGAAGAACAATGCTGAATAAAGCAGCTTTATGTAGAGTTTAACAAATGATACAGAGAATCAGGGAACTAGCTGGGAACTGGATTGGCTGGCTATATGAATACTTGGGGCAGCTTGCTATTGGATAAGTATGCTGGGAAAAAGGATGTATAAAAGCCTGTGTAACTTCCTGCTCTGTGTGCAGGATTTGAGATTTGCAGCTGCAAATAAACTTTTCTGCTTCTCCACCCCGTTGTGATTATTGGGTGCAGCACACCGGGTAACGAACCAACTCAAGCTGTTGTTCAGCCTCTCGGCACTGGGTGCCGGCAACAGCTTTTGGCGTCCCTGGGTGGGCGACGAGGCTGCAATTTAGCCTTGCCCGGACCCCTCCTGAAGGTCGAGAAGTCCGGCGAGAACCGACGCCCAGCGCGCACCGGTGAGTTCATCGGGGGCCTCGGAGGAGACGCGATTTGATCGACCCCAGAGGGCACAACGGTGCAACGCACTCATATAGTGGAGAAGCTGTTGTGGACGGCGGTGAAGAACCGGTCCCTTAGACGTGGGGGAGGAGCAGCTGCAGGCCACGGTGAAGAACCGGTCCCTTGGATAAGGTAGGAACCTTTTAAAATCCGGATTGTATGCTCTGTTGGAACCTGGGGACGCCCAGAGTTACCCTGTAGGTATGAGACAGGGACAGAGCTCAGAGGTTAGGGCACGGTGTACGCCCCTAGAGTGCATTCTAGCAAACTGGAAGGTATTTGGTGCGGATCCGATGACTAAGAGCCAATTAAAACGATTCTGTACAGTTGACTGGCCTCAATATCAACTAGAGGACCAGGAGTGGTGGCCACCAGGAGGGTCAATTAATTACAACACGATCCTCCAATTAGTTTTGTTTTGTCAGTGAATGGGTAAATGGAATGAACATATGTATGCGCATTTGTTTCTGACTTTATGTACTCGACCAGATATTTTACAGCACTGTAATCTGACTCCGACTGGTTCGGTAGCAGCTAATGTTAGTCCCCAGACCCCCAACCCCCACTGTAATGGCAGAGCCGGTGTCCCCTTCGGCCCCCACACCCCCACCGTATAAGGGTAGGATGCCTCGGGTTACAGAGATTGCCCCCTCGGTGGGACTCTATCCTTTGCTTACCGAGACTGTTGTGGCTTGCCCAGGGGCAGACGGACATCAGGCTACCACTATGCAAGTTTACATCCATGTGCCATTCAATCCAATAGACTTAGCAGCTTTTAAAACACAGGCTGGGGAATTCTCAACGAACGCAAGCAGGTTTATTTCAGTCTTTGAGGGGTGCCTCAGTAGTCACAAGCCGATTGAGACGACTGTAATATCCTCCTGAGAACCCTGTTGTCTGAGGTGGAGAGGGATCAGGTTACAGCTAAGGCAAGGGGAGCGTCAGCGTTCAAGCGAAAAAAAAAGAAAGGAATCTATCTGTCAAGTTCCTCTCCAAATAATTGTAAGCGGCTCAGGGCATTTCTGGGTATGGCAGGCTTTTGCAGGATATGGATCCCAGAGTTTGGACTGTGGGCTAAACCCCTGTACGACTGTGTAAAAGGAGCAGATCATGACCCCTTCTATTGGACTCCAGAGGCTGACAGGGCATTTAAAATCCTGAAAAGAAAATGGATAGAAGCCCCAGCTCTGGACCTGCCGGATCTCTCTAAGCCATTTCAGTTGTATGTACATGAATGAAGGGGGGTGGCCCTAGGAGAGCTTACACAGCTGTTAGGAGCATGGAAGCGTCCTGTGGCTTATTTTTCTAAGCAATTGGATCAGGTTGCAAAGGGTTGGCCGGCATGTTTACGGGCGGTCGCAGCTACTGCCCTATTGCTTGAGGAAGCGGAGAAGCTAACATTGGGAGGGGTTATGCAAATCTATACTCCCCACATGGTCCGAGCCTTATTGGATGCAAAGGGAAGGCTTTGGCTCACCCAGGCTCGGATTGCTTGGTACCAGGCTAAGCTGTTAGAGAACTCTGAAGTCACCTTACAGCCTTGCCCCTCCCTTAACCCAGCCACTCTCTTGCCAGAAACAGAGGAACAGAAACATGACTGTTTAGAGATCATAGATGTCCAGTACTCCAGCCGTCCGGATTTAAAGGATGTACCCCTCCCAAATGCAGATTATGAGTGGTACACTGATGGTAGCAGTACTGTAATAAATGGGCAAAGGAGGGCGGGTTATGCTGTTGTGACCCTCCATGACACTGTGGAAGCTGAAGGTTTGCCTGCTGGGACCTCTGCCCAGCTTGCCGAACTAATAGCCCTGACCCGTGCACTTGAACTGTCAAAAGGAAAGCGGGTCAACATTTTTACTGATTCAAAGTATGCTTTTGGTGTGCTGCATGCTCATGCTGGCCTATGGAAGCAAAGGGGAATGCTGACAGCCCAAGGCTCCCCAGTCAAGTACGGGCCCCAAATCCTCCGGCTCCTAGAAGCCGTACAACTCCCCTCGGAAGTGGCGGTGGTACATTGTAAAGCCCATCAAAGGGAGGATCAAGATGTGGCCAGAGGTAACGCTTGGGCAGATAGAGAGGCTAAGCATGCTGCCACCCTGCCATCCCCTCAGACTGAGAATGCCCATATGCATGCCCTTATCCCATCAGTAGGGGAGCTTCCAACCCCTCAGTACTCTGGGGAGGAGAGACAGCTAACTGACAAACTCAGTCTCCGGGAAAAGGAGGGATGGCTCCATTCCCCAGAAGGGAAGGTCCTCTTACCAAAGGGCCCAATCCGGCCAGTGCTTCAGAAACTACATCAAACCACTCATGCTGGCAGGGAAGCACTTATCCAGCTAATGGGAAAATACTTTATCACTTCCGGACTCCGACCCCTGGCTGCCCAGGTACAAGCAGACTGCTTAGTCTGCCAAAAGAATAACCCCCGACCGGGACATCCTGTGCCACCAGCTGCCCTAGAACCCACTCCGGGCCCTGAACAAGTGTGGCAAATAGACTTTACTGAGTTTCCCCGGACCCAAGGGTTCAAATATCTCCTTGTTATAGTGGATCGGTTCAGCGGATGGCCAGAAGCCTTCCCATGCTGTAACTGCACTGCCAGAACAGTGGCCCTCAAGTTTGTTAAGGAGATCATTCCTCGCTTTGTACTCCCCGTGGATGGAATCTGACAATGGGACACACTTCACATCAAAAATCATTCAAAGCATCTCACATGCCTTACAGATCCCCTGGAAACTCCATATGCCCTGGAGACCGCAAGCCAGTGGTGTAGTGGAGCGTACCAATCAGACCCTTAAACGGCATCTCTCAAAAGTGTGCCAAGAAGCCTCACTGCGATGGCCTGATGCTTTGCCCCTTGTCCTACTCCGTATCCGCGTTCTCCCAAAGGGTAGATTAGGGCTCAGTCCCTTTGAAATTATGTTTGGAAGGGCATGGCCTATGAATGGCACCCCGGTTCTGTTAGGGGAATGGGAGTTGGGTAATGTTTTTTTGTCACAGTATATGTGTTCCCTGTCTGCTGTTCTCTTGTCTCTTCACAGGTATACCAAGGATTCCCAGCCTGTCCCCTTGGACTCTCCCGTTCACTCCTTACAGCCCGGTGACTCTGTGCTTGTTCGCACCTGGAAAGACGAGCCTCTCCAGGAAAAGTGGAAAGGACCCTATACCGTCCTGCTGATCTCCCATACAGCGGCAAAGATCAAGGGACACAAGAACTGGATCCATCACTCTCGTCTGAAGGCAGTAACCGCCCCCTCGTCAGCAGGACAGTGGACCGTCCAACCTGCTGACTCCTCATCTAGTGAGATCTCGGGCTAAAGCTACTGTTTAAAAGACACAAATAGCGGGCACCTTAATGCTAAAATGGGCCCACCCAGGTACTGGAGACCCTGGGTTGGGAAGACTCTGGTCATAATTAATTGGGTAACATTGTTATTCTCTGTATTGGTATTTCCAAACTGTGCATATCGGGAGCATAACTCCTTTGTTTTGCTTGCGCACCATGTTGCTAATTTAACAAACCAGACTGATTGCTGGGTATGTGCTCCAACTCCACTATCCCCCAAAACGGGAATGCCCCTTGACATGCTGCCCTTGACCCTAGCAGAATTAGCCACCACCGAAGAGCAGGAAAGAACGGACTCACCGTTCTGGAATAAGACCTCTTTACAGCAGGCCACCTATCAGGACCAGGAGTATTCAGTTGCAGTACTCACTAAGGGAGTGTTATGTTTTACCCGAAACCAATCTGATCACTATGGGCATCCTGTGGGAAAGAGCTCCTTTGTTATTACACAGTGGGCTGATGGGTATTGGATAAAGACCAACAGGGGAGGCCAACAGTGTGGGTGTAATGGTTCCTCCCCTTTTAGGGAAACACTTACAAATAATCTTACCACAAAAAAGGGGTTTGGAAATGTAACTTGCCGTCAAGTTAACATCTCCAATGTAGCAAGCCCAAGTGAGAAAACTCAGAGCCAAGGCTGTTGAGTGTTCTCAAAGGGGGGAGTTGTTGGGGACACTGGGGCATGGCCACTAGGTAACTCGAGGGGATGGAAGACCACGAGTGTCGATGAAGCCCCCTTGCACTAGGCCCCGGTGTCCTTGGCCCCCCCTCCTGCCTGGAGGCACTCGCAGCAGCTCTGCGTACTAGGCCCAAGTGTCCTTGGCCCCCCCGCCTGGAGGCATACACAGCAGTTATGCTGAGAATCTGCAACAGTATGTTGCAGAGTCAGACTGCCTGAAACTAAGCAAGGCCAAACAGGGGAGATATGGAAGAACAATGCTGAATAAAGCAGCTTTATGTAGAGTTTAACAAATGATACAGAGAATCAGGGAACTAGCTGGGAACTGGATTGGCTGGCTATATGAATACTTGGGGCAGCTTGCTATTGGATAAGTATGCTGGGAAAAAGGATGTATAAAAGCCTGTGTAACTTCCTGCTCTGTGTGCAGGATTTGAGATTTTATTCTCCCTGTACCTTTTTGCAGCTGCAAATAAACTTTTCTGCTTCTCCACCCCGTTGTGATTATTGGGTGCAGCACACCGGGTAACGAACCAACTCAAGCTGTTGTTCAGCCTCTCGGCACTGGGTGCCGGCAACAAGCCCAAAGCCTTCATCCATTTCCCAACAGAGATGCAGGTTTAGATCAGCCTCTGTAAGGACCATTCCCCCATTTCCTTTCAATAACTCACAACATAGTGCCTCATCCTTTCACTACACCACTAGCTCATTCCTTTCCTGCAGTTCTCTAGGAGAATTCCTGACCTTCCACTGACATTCCACAACTCTTAAATCTCACTTTGATGCTCTGTTGAAGGTGTAGTTCTATTTTAGATGATCAGCAAGTGAATTTCTTCTTGGCTAACCAGCATAGAAACCCTAAGAACATTTTAATAAATAACAAGGGAGCTTCATTATTACATGAATATTTCAGAGTGATTCCAACTATACTGTATATGGTGTAGGTGTTTAAAATTAGAAGTTATCTTTTCTAATTCTCTGGAGTTTTCCGGATCCTGTTTGCAGGTAAAGGGCGCTATAGGGAAGTGTGCAATCTGGGCCTGGGTTTGCAAAGAGCCTGGCTGGAGCAAGGTGGGGTGAGTTGTGCCTCTCTGCCTTATGGAGCAGCCTGCTTTCTCTGTGTGTGTGTTTTTGATTCCTATGTGTACTAGATTCTAGGAAATAAACTATTGTTACATTGCAGCTTTCCAGAAAGAGTATTTTATGTTTTTAATCTAAACTCTTTTTGTTTGTTTGCTGTGAATATAACACTACTGAGTGGGGAAGAGAAAGCTAACATTTAAACAACTACTTTTAAAATTAGACATGGCTAAGCAGTAGAAAATATATTGTGGAAAATTATCATATCTTGGCAAAGGAAAGCAGTATATGACCTTCTAGGTCTTTCTGGGTAAAATTTTTAAAAATGTTTAAGTCCTATTGAGAGTCACTTTACTCTGCAAGAAGAAATCACAGAATGGGACTACTTAAGGGTTAAGGAGATAATTTACTTGAACAAGGGTGGCAGAATTTAATCCTCCAGTGTATTTCAATTCAGGGAATTGGTTCAGGCTCCTTTAAAAAAAATACGAGAAAAAGCAATATCAAGTAGAAAATTAACTGGGTCATCACTCAAAATATACATTCTGAATTCAGAGTTGGTGTGGTGCTTTTCTTCCAAAAATGCCAAAAGTGAAAACCATTTATTAAAGATCTTCTTTCCTTCTATTTTTCCTCATTCTTGTATACTAGCCCTAAAAAACTTCATAATAAATAAAACTAATTTAAAATAAAATTATCTCTTTTAGTGAAGGCAGTTTTAATTTCAGCATTTTATAAGCTGCACCTGACTTCTTGGATAAAAATACATTGCATTTTTGAACAAAGTGAAGATACATAAGAATTAAAAACAGCATTAGAAGGAAACAACTATTTCTAAGACAGTGCAGATTGCTCCTATTCCCACAAGTGTGCTGTTACATATTTGTGCTGCAGACAAAATACCTACCTTCTCAGAAGCTTTCTATATTTCAAAAGCTGGTTTTAGGCATATGGTGGCAATAAATCTAGACGATTTACCCAGATATCTGCTTGTTTCCTCTCTGCTAGTTTAAGCAATAATTTTTGCTTACATTGTTTTCACTCCCAGATTATACCGACTCTGAATTCCTGCCCCATCACAATCAGCTCTTTAAATGGTAAAATTTTGCCTGTGACAAGTATTCAGGAAGGATTACTGAGTGGAATCTCCTCATTACCAGCACTGATATTTTCTTATCAAGTTTCATACTTAATTGTGGGAAAAAAGCAGCAAATTATTTTTTTCGGCATAGTTTTCTTCAAGTGTTTTGGAGGTAACCCTAAGTAACATATTCTCAAATATGTTACTTACATGCTATTGGGACTCAAAATCAGTAGCACTCACCAAGGAAAAAATTCAATCTGCTTCATGGTTTTGAGATTTCTGCAGGATTTAGACACTAATAGCTACTTCAGTCTCAGTTATATAATATACAGAAGCCAGAGAAAAAAGAAGGGAAGTAGAATAGAGGCGGGTCTAACATATATATGTTTTCTCACTCCAGTACCCACTGTACCCTTTACAATATATATAATCAAAATAACTATCATGAGAAAATAAATGCATTCCTCATGTAAGCATGCTAAGGTGGAAAAGATTACTTACTACATCTTCTCCATGGATAAATATATAGACTTCTGGACAACTTGAAGGCCTTAGGTAAATTTTCAGAGAAATAGGAGCATAACAACAGCATGAAAGATCTTGTCATCATTTTTTGCATATGGCCATCATATTGCTTTCCAACTTTCTACCTGTCGGAAGTACTATAGCATAATAGTTGTGATGGGGTTGATTGTTCCATTAAGGCACCAGTCTGTGTTGGAACTGTTGAAGCCCATGTTGGGACTACTCCAGAAGGAGCTCTAGAACTGCATTGTGCCTCAGAAAAGCACTATGGTTACATCTGCAACTCACTCAGTGCCTAAATTTCCATGGTAAAATTTCCCTAAGCACCTAGGTTTCTGCTTCTGGGCATGCACACTACTGCCTTCCTCTAGGCATCAGGCACCTGTCTCCTGCCTAATACCCAGTGCAATCCACAAACTGGGGGAAGATAGTTGTTCCCATGCCTATCTTGTCTGAAGAGCCCAATCTGATAGGTGTACTCATTGGTTGCCTAATTCCTCACAAAACCACTGGGGAGGTGGTGGGGAGGAGACCTTTTTAACATTAATCCAGTGGCTGGGCACTCTCTCAGGGTGGATTTGGAATTGTACTGTAAGCACAGACTAGAAAAAGAAATTGTGTTTTAAATTAATGTGAAACTTAATGACAGGTTTCAAAGTAACAGCCGTGTTAGTCTGTATTTGCAAACAGAAAAGGAGTACTTGTGGCACCTTAGAGACTAACCAATTTATTTGAGCATAAGCTTTCGTGAGCTACAGCTCACTTCATCGGATGCATACTGTGGAAAGTGTAGAAGATCTTTTTATACACACAAAGCATGAAAAAATACCTCCCCCACCCCACTCTCCTGCTGGTAATAGCTTATCTAAAGTGATCACTCTCCTTATACCCAGGAACCTATCCTTGCAACAAAGCCCGTTGCCAACTGTGCCCACATATCTATTCAGGGGACACCATTACAGGGCTTAATAACATCAGCCACACTATCAGAGGCTCGTTCACCTGCACATCCATCAATGTGATATATGCCATCATGTGCCAGCAATGCTCCCTGCCATGTACATTGGTCAAACTGGACAGTCTCTATGTAAAAGAATAAATGGACACAAATCAGATGTCAAGAATTATAACATTCATAAACCAGTCGGAGAACACTTCAATCTCTCTGGTCACGCGATTACAGACATGAAAGTTGCAATATTACAACAAAAAAACTTCAAATCCAGACTCCAGCGAGAGACTGTTGAATTGGAATTCATTTGCAAATTGGATACAATTAACTTAGGCTTGAATAGAGACTGGGAGTGGCTAAGTCATTATGCAAGGTAACCTATTTAAGGAGAGTGAGCACTTTAGATAAGCTATTACCAGCAGGAGAGTGGGGTGGGGGGAGGTATTTTTTTCATGCTTTGTGTGTATAAAAAGATCTTCTACACTTTCCACAGTATGCATCCGATGAAGTGAGCTGTAGCTCACGAAAGCTTATGCTCAAATAAATTGGTTAGTCTCTAAGGTGCCACAAGTACTCCTTTTCTTTTTATGAAACTTAAGACAGTTTAAAAAGGGAGACCTTTCAACTGCCTTCTTGGGTAATAAGATGATTCATAATTGCTCATCTTTCAGTTTGTTCTTACAAATAGAATGAACTTGTGGCTTTTGTGTTGGGGTAAGTGCAAGTAAGCAGTGCTGTAGCTGGAGTAATTCTGCATGACTCAACTGGAATTTTCCCTGGAACTCTGTGGGAGCACATACTTGAGATGTGGTAACTCCCCTGCCCTTTCAAAGGGTGTTCCTGTGACACCTCCTGCACTGTGCCATCTTTTTCTGGTCAACCTGTAGCAGGGGATCGATGGCCATTCCCTCAGACTATCCATCCTTGTTTCATTTGGTATAGCAACCATTGCCAGCAGCAGTAGATTGGAACAGCCTTATCAAATGTATTCTACTTTATTTCTTTGTTTGCAAAATAGTTTTAATCATACACATAAAAGCTGAACAAATATGTTCAAATATGAACAAAGACAATTTCCTCTTACTACTTTTCTCCTTCAAAAGATAAGAAAGAAGAATGAACCTGGGAGGCATCTTTAGGTCTTTGAGGTTTTAATGTGCTGAAGGCAGGTATGATGATGATCATGAACACATGTAACTTCAATAATGTTAATCTAGTATGGTGTGAAAACTCTTATAGTAGCAAAGGCTCCTGAAATTACACCACCAGTTTTTGACATTCCAAGAAAGTGTGGAACCAATTAATTCACTCATTCCTTAGATACAGCACCCAGGAGGGATTTTTCCTCTGTTGGAGGCATTGATGCTCTAGGAAAAGCCCATTTAGTCTTCCAGGGGCCTAGAAGGTCTGGGAAGAAATAATAATCAATCAGAAAATAGCAGGCAATAAGAAGGCTTACCTATTTCATCTCAAGGGGAGTGCTGAATGGAGCTAGAGCATGGTCTTCAGTCCTAACCCAGAACCCTGGGGCCAAGTCGGGGCCTTGTTTAAAATGGAGCAACCAAAAAGTTACCTGTTGTGTTTACTAGTTTAAAGATAAAGCCAGCCAAAGTCTGTTGATTAACTGTTTAAAGACTGGCACCAAGGTCACTGCAGAAGTTGTCCTGCTCTGGGTGGGCTGCCATAGGGTTGAATTACAATTTTCATAGACATCAGTAGAATATCAGTGGTGTAATGAAAGAGCACTTGCAAACTGAAGTCCAGTCATCTACTGGGAGTTTCCATTCTGACTACCCTGAAGATGAGCCTCTAGAAAGCTCATCATGGAAATATCTCTGGATAGCAATTGTTG